ACTCAAGGGCTCAAGGGCACATTAACAAAGTCTTTGGGGTTTTTCCCTATTCGCTGTGGGCAGTTACTTTTCTTAGAAGAGTAGATCTCTTTGATTGACAACTAAGATTGACAGGACTCAATGATTCATCGTTTGCTTTCTGCACATGTTCGTTCCCAGAATTCAGCCTGTTATAATGATATTAATGAACTTCTGGGCATATGCATCATATTATAATGAGGGTATAATGAAGCTCAAGTGAGTTGAAAGTCATTGGGGTCTTCATTGCACTGGTGCAAGTGACTGGCTTAAACTGGTACCTAATTCTCTGTTTATTTGTTTATTTCTATGAGTTACTTTTGGTCTAAAAATGCCTTCTGATTTGCTTAATTGTGGGCGGACTAGGGCGAACTCCTTCTAGGATAGGATGACCTCAGTATCTTTGCAGGTAGACCCCAAACCCCCTAACTAACTTTTCTGCCTAACTCTTTTCTAAGACCCATGAACCCTTTTATTAGTAGTATGGATGTTGAGGGACAGGAGGTCTTTTCTGTATCTGCTTCCTGTTGAGAAGGATCATGGTCTCTGCCTCTTGGGGTTTCATGGAGCTCTTTTCCTTTCTGCCTTAGTCAGGGTGGGGTCTTGGGTTTCATGCTGAAGTGCCGCCTCAGTCCCTAGACAAGGAAAAGAAGACACAAACTTGTTATTTAAATCATATATCTATTAATTTCTCTTATTGATTTGTCTATTAAGCGAGTAAAGAGAAACAGGTTTGGTTAATATATTTCTTAAAGAGTAAAAGAAGACCTTTGGCCTAAAATCCTCTCCCCTTTCAGACTCTAAGGGCCCTGTCTGGCCTAATGCCATTTCTGCTAACAATGGGTGGGTGACCCTTATCAATAGCCAGAGGATCTGAATCACCAGTTTCTGGGCAATTATTGGGATTCAAGGGAGAGGGCCTTTTTCCTAAAGAAATGAAGAAAACTTAACTAGGTTTACTAACAAGATTAAGAACTCTGCAAGAGATGTTCCATATCACAGACATCATCATGGTCCCCCATGATCTGTGGTGCTGCTACCAACTGAACTTCCACAGGGAACAGAAGGCTTTCATAAGCCCAACAGTAAGACACTGTTCAATAAGAAGGAAAGATTTGGGTTAAGTTGAAGAGGCAGAAATACATCAGTTGCCAGCACTAACTCTCAAGTGATTAAGAAATAATGTTCTTTAGGGATCATCAATGAAACTATAAGTTTGTGTATCCATCAGGTACACTAGTCATTTGCTATTTGGTCTTACTCATTTTCCTGTATCTACTATCCCAGTATATTTCTTATGACTGGTGTTTATATATTGGAATATTCTGGGCTTCCTTTTACCAAGAGGCAAAAAGAAATTCTGTCCTAGAGCCAAATCACCTTGAGATTGCAATAAAGCTTTTGGCTTGATGAAATACTGACTGTGTGTGTAAAAAAGTTAACAAAGCAGACCTGAGACTGTAGTCCTTAGGAAGTCCTGCTTGCAGTATTGGCCTTGGCCATCACGTAGGAACTTGAACAGTAAATAGTTCCCTGTGCTGATATAAAATCACGCCAGACTGATAAAAGTGGCTCGCTGCGCCTAAACTGTCTGTACAAACAGTATTATTTATGCTGAACACCTGTTGTTTTTCTAGGTTTCTGGAATTTTGGTATATGCCAGGCACTGGGTGCCTATGTGCTCAGCTCCCAGGAAAAACTTTGGTCATTGACACTCCAGTGAGCTTCTGTGTAGACAATATTTCACATGTGTTGTAATGACCTGTTGATGCAGGAATTAAGCATGTCCTGTGCGAGTCTACCAGGATAATTGTCTTGGAAGCTTGAGCTTGGACTTCGTTCTATGCACCTTTTCTGTTGTTGATTTCGCTTTATGTCCTTTCACTGTAATAAATCTTAACTATGAGTAAAACTATATCCTGAGTCGTGTAATTCTTCCTAGCAAATCATTAAATCTGGGGCCGGTCTTAAGACTTCTTTTATTTCTTAGGGGAAATATATTTATTTTATTTTATATTTTATTTTCTGAGAGGCCTCCCTAGCACCATTAAAACAAAAGGCTTTGGTCTCAAGGAGCTCAAGTTCAAGAGCCAATAAGAAAAAAACAACCCACTCTAAAATATTCAAATATAATACCATACCTCTTTTATGCCCTCCGTTTCCCTCTGGTTTGCCCATCTGTCCTTCTCCAGATCCCATATGTTTTCTCTTTTAATTTCCTCCTTTACTTTTTCTTTCCTGTTCTCCATTTTCTTTGGTTCTTTCTACTTTCTAGAGACACAGGCTTAGCCTTCCCTTTGTCTCATCTGTCTGTTTTACATTTCATCTTGGGCTGTGAACTTCATGAGACTAGAGACTATGTAAACAGTAGGTTTAGCAGGAAAAAAATTATTAGTGTATGGAGACTCCATTTTTATGCTCAGAAATGTTATTATTTATCTTCCGGTTAAAGGAAATCACTTGATATTTTTGTCCCCCAGTTTTCTAATCTAATAAATGAGGATATTACCTGTCTACACTGCAGAGTTACAGAGGGGATCAAATGCGATAATTTTTGTGTAAGAATTTAAAAATTTGAGCCACATATAATTGCTGAGACCTTTTATTTTCTTGGAGGTTTGCACAAGTGCATTGCATGAGAAAGATATGCTCCTGGGATGTATACATTCTCTCTCTTTATTCATAAAATGACAGGGAAGAGAATGTAAAAATGGGGAAGGGCCATAGGAATAGTTAGCCTGAATAAAAGAAGGCTTTGATTACTGACTTCAAATATTTGAAGGGCAGACATAAAAACAACAACAACAACAAAAAAATACCAATAAAATAATTTTGTATGACTCCACAGAATCGAGTCAGGACTAATGCAGAGAAAAATTAAAAAACAGAAGAAGAGGAAAAACCTGGCTGAGGCAACAGGAAAAGGGATAGAAGGAGAAACTGGTCATTGGAGTTGTTCAAGATCAAGTTGAACCACATCACATTTTGCACATTGCACAAGGAATTAAACATTAGATCTATAAATGAACTTCTTTTGTGAACCACCCCCACAACTTTTGCTCCGATGCTGTCTGTACCATCATATATTGATAGTACAGAGATTTCTTTAAATGATTCACTCATTTTTTATTAGATACATTTATTTAAAGACTACAATTTGCACACGATGTTTTGGTTATTTTTTGTAATGCCCTTTAAAACAAAAAGATGATGATTAAAAAAAAAAAAAGCTTATATCTGTTAGTAAACCCAAAACTAAATGCCTTCCAGACCTGTTATTCCATGGAAATTCTTAAGCCAAATAAAAGATAAGAATAAAAACAAAATGACAGCCCTGGTATCTTGATTTTTATTCCTGTGAACCCTTCGGTCACCTCGCCTCCCACGTTCTTTTTTGAAGAAAAGGATGGTGCTTAATTCGTAGAGCTGAGAATATCACCATGCCTCTCGTCAAGAAGAACCACTCATGCATTTGCTCACCACTCTCTCACAAACCACCAGGACAACAGGTACAAACTAGGATTCCAGAAAACTGGAATATGTGGTAGCCCTACTTTTCCTCACTCTTTCTGCCCTGGTTTTGCACTTACCAAATAAAGCATCAGCACTTAATTCTTGACCTCTGCTCTATTTTCTAAGGACATAGGTTAAGACCGCTCTTTGTCTTATATGCACAACTGGTCTGCAGAAGTTATAACCCTGCCCCTATATCTACAGTTGATTAGAGCAGAGAAAGATACCTGACCTAAGATGGGTCACTTTTCTTTTGCTGGAATTTTAAACTATAGACAATATATTGTTTGCTAGGGATGTCGTAACACAATATCAGAAACTGGGTGGCCACTGAGGAGGACCAGTGGATAGTTTGTTCCAGGGTCTGAGCAAAAACAACAGTATACATTCAGTGAAGAATAAAGTGACTAAAATAGAGGAAATAATATTACAAACATCTCAATATATATAATCAGTAGAAGCAAATGCTTGAAGCAATTGACCTTTATTAATTGAGGCTGTAGACAGGTATAGAAATCTTATAATACCCGTTGATTTTTAAGTGTACCTTAGGTATGTTTTATAATGTTACTTAATGGAGAAATGAAAGCCATGTGTAATGAACAGTGCTTGAAAACAGCTTGATCATACAGAAATACCTCCTTAAACTCTAGGGATATAAGATCTTTGCACGTCTTATATCAAATGTATATTAATAAGGGAAGTTGTACATTATAACATATATAAATGCCTTAAGATTTGATTATCATTGAAGAGTTAACAAAATTATGCGTTCTGTGGATAGAATAGCATTTATTAATTCTTATTTCGCAATATTCTTTTTAAATTTTAGAGCCAATACATTTTTGTTGCATTTTTGTGTGTTGGGGATGGGGGGTGTGAAAATTATATAAGCATAAGGCATCATGCTTCTGGTGCCTAATGGAAGAAATGAATGTTTGTATCTTAATTTTTTTTAAAAAAATTAATCGTTCTGTAATTATATTTTCTTAACAACTGCAAAACACAATTTAGAAGTAGTATAGTATTTAAAGTGCTGTAATATTTGCTCTCAAGAAACATCTAGAAATAAGCCCATTGTTCTACAAACATGAGTAGTTCTGTATTTTTAAAAAGTTACTGTTAATAGCTTCTGCAACAAAAAGTAATCTCTCATTTTAAAGAAATTTTTTAAAAGTGCAACTAGAACAAGCCACATTTCAGCTGACTTACGTGAGCAGTAATATATCTTTTTCAAACTCAAAATGCACAGCATACAATCAGCCCACTTATGTGGTTTCTACATTTTTGACATAAACCCAAATGAACCATTTTTATTATAGTGAAATAAGAAGAAAACGACTAGGTACAGTTTCAGATATTGTATTTCCTGTTTAAAAATAAAAGGTGATGAAAAATATTACTATTCATGAACATTTCTACTTTTTCTGAATTAGGTTTCATCCGAGAGTAGGCTCACCATTGCTCAGAAGGATACGCTCAACCAATTCAACATAATTAAAATAAGACAGACATTGCAGGATTTGTCGGGGTTCAGCTCAGGGTCTAGCCTTTCTGAGTTTTCTCCCCTCTCAGACTTACTATAACATTTGTTTTTCATTTAGCTCATGACTGGATCCTATCTTGTATTATCTTCCAACTGCTTTCTGTCTGATCCTTCAAGAATGGTAAGCTTCTTGAAAGAGCAACTATCAGCTTGTGTCTAAGTTAAGAAATGCACCCCACTGAGTGGAACCCTGGATGCTGTGAGTTTTTCTGTACACACTATGAGATATTTGCCTTGTTTTTAATAGCTGGCCATGCTGTTCTTTTGAGCCTGCTAGCTTAGATTCAGGTAGTCTGAAACAGTACTTAGTGATCTGACTTGAATTAATTCTCTTTTGTCAATTGACCAATTAATCAATCAACTAACAAATATGGTTGAACTTCAACTACGTCCAAAGTACTATTTTCTCAAAGAGCAAAAATAGCTATATAATTCAGAAAAAAAAGGAGATTAAATTGAATAAATGCAAATTTTAAATCTAAAATTTGGGGACAGACATTAAAAACAATATCTGTGTTGGTGAATGTAAGGTGGTGTGAGGTGAGGTATCTTCTCTCATATGTAGTTGCGTATTGTATGATCTTTATAAAAATTCACAATATTTACCAAAAGCCTGGCAACTTTTCCCAACAATCAGCTTGGAACAGTATTTAGGAGCATTTACTTGAGTTCAAAGCCCAGTTCCTCCATGTAGGGTGTGATTTGGGGAAATTACTTAATCTTGTTGCCTCATCTGTAAAACAAGGATAACAATAGTACCTACCCATTATAAGGGTAACATAAGCCAATAGTATTAAAGTTAAGAACAGTGTCTAATAAATAGTATGTGCTAAATAGGCTCCTAAAATATCTTTTGACACAATATTTGCATTTTGAAGAAATAGAGGTAAGAGTGAGAATCTGGGTGTATAAAAAATCAATACACAAAAAACAAGTGTTGGAGAGGATGCAGAGAAAAAGGACCCCTCCTACATTGTTGGTGGGATTGCACATTGGTACAGCCGCTATGGAAAACAGTATGGGTTTCTCAAAAAATTAAAAATGGATATACCTTTTGACCCAGCCATTGCACTTCTGGGTATTTATCCAAAGAAAACAAAACAATAATTCGTAAAGGTCTATGCACTCCAATATTCATGGCAGGATAATTTACAATAGCCAAGATCTGGAAGCAACCTAAACAACAGACAATTAGATAAAGAAATTATGGTTCATATATACAATGGAATATTACTCAACCATTAAAAAATGAAATCCTACCATTTGCAATGATATGGATGGACCTAGAGGTTATTATACTGTGAAATAAGTCAGACAGAGAAAGATAAATATCATATGATTTCACTTATATGCAGAATCTAAGGAACAAAAAGAACAAAGTAATCAAAAACAGACTCATGAATATAGTGGACAATTTGGTGACGGACAGAGGGGAAGGGGATTGGGGGGCTGAGAGAACATGGTGAAGGGTTAAAGAAGTACAAATTAGTAGTTGATAGTTGATCACGGGGATGGGGAGCACGGCATAGGGAATGCAGTCAGCATTAATATGATGGCTAGGTGGAAGGCCAGGAGAGGGAGGGAGCAATTGGGAGATCGTTTCATGAACAATATAGATGTGTAACCAATGTACTATATACTTAAAACTAATTTAAATTTAAAAAATTCAATACATCTTAAATGTCACACTTGATGGAAATGGTTAAAATATCAAGGCATATCCATATTAGTGAGAATACAACCATCAAAAAATTAAGTGTTCAAAGAATATGGATATACTCAGATATAATGTTCTATTTTAAAAGCAGTAAAGTTGCCACTATATATTATGATCCTAATGCTATTAGAAGGAACATAGGAAAAGTTCTACAAAAAAATATAAAGAAAACTAATGATGATTATCTCAGGGTACCAAAATTAGATATAATTTTTTATTTTGTTCTTTATCTTTTCCATAGTTTCAAAATTTTCCATCATTATTATTATGTTGAGAAAAAAGTAGAAAATATATTTATAAAATGTGACAGAGGGAAAGAAAAAGTGGTGATTAGAGAATTATATTCCCTTTTTTTTTTGAGCAACTGGATAAACATACAGAATGGGAATCTTGGATATCTTCAAAGAATAGCAATTTTTAAAGCAAGAAATAGTTTTAAGCTATAATTAACTGGAGAGTATTATCTTAATAAATAGCATTAACTATATATATATCCTCTCCCACTTTGAAAGAAAAAGCCTAAGTGGTGAATCACACCCTGGCCAGGAGGTGATGAAGCAAAAGCTGATGAGTTTTGGATAAACTCAGCAATAACTCAAGTCACTAGCCCAGCAGGAACCAAAGCCAAGTTTCAGGGGCCAAAAAAAAAAAAAGAACAACTCAACCAACTTCAGACTGATGATCTTGGGAGTTGGTACAGTAATTTGCAAAGGCTAAATGTTATTGCAAATCTGACAACTGGATGTACCAAAACTCACTCTGTCATATGCCAGCTCAGTGACAGAATCCCCTTGCAGACCTGGGGGTCACTTTTCTACCTAACAAACTTTTCTGGAGAGATGAGTTATGAACTCAGATCCCCAAGTCTCTTAATGAAAATGTACCTTCAAATGCTTTGAAATTTTTTTCTGCTCTCATTTCCTAGTTTGGAGAAGAAGTATGCTTTCATGGTAGGTGTCCAAAGAATATTTACTGCCTGGACTTTCTTAAAATAATGAGAAAGAGGGAAAAAGTACTCTGAACACTTGTAAACCTGCCCACTGAATCAAAGAATATGTAAAGCAGCTTGGCAGTGAATGTAATAATTACCTATCATAATAACTGAGATATATTTCTTTCTCATTTTTACAGTAGCTTTGTGAATATAATCAGAGACCCTAGAGCAAGTTACATGGAAAGCATTAAGGTTAAGGACATACCCTTTAAATGGGAGACAGGCACAAGATACATGCTCAGCCACTTAAAAAGAAAGTGATAATTGTAATTATTTGAAAGAAAGCATTCTTAATTTATAACTTTTAAAAGAAACTATCTTTATTATACTTTAGAGTATTCTAAGTGTGTATCATGGCTGCTAATATTTTATGCATACTTTTTTTTCAGTCGAAGGCATTTGCCATAATTCAGCTTTAGCAAACTCTGGCCTCAGCTGTAACTTAGAGCATGATGTATATCCATCGTCCAACTATAAATCTGTAAAAAAAAATCTGTGGTGGTTATTATACTTTTATGAATCTGATTCATGCAGAAAGCATTATCCCTGC